GTGGACCCTTTTTATAACATTGTGATAAAAAGCTATTTATTATTATCTTGGCTTTTTGTTTTATAAATATTCTGTATCCATGTTAAAAAATTAGAACTGCAACTCATTTGTGAATGGTGCAAACAACAAAACCAATCTAGATTATCATTTTTCCACATTAAGGAAGATTATAGCCATATTTTAAAAACATATCTTTCTGATTTCCTTCAAAATAGATCTGACATTTTACCTCAGACATCTTTTTGAAACAAAACTAGTCTGATCAGGATGTAACATTTCAGTTATAAAATATATTCTCTTCTGCAAGTATTGCAATGAAAAGCTTATCTCTTACATTTGATTAAACAAAAGTCAGTCCGACTCTCCTAATTTCCTTCTGTATAAATAAAAAGAACTTTATTTCCATAAAAAAAGTTCTTCACATTCCTAAATTTATTTCATTATTTGAGATACAGGTTTAGCCAAAAAAAAATTGGAAAGTCTCCTAGGATATTACACGTAATATTGTTATATCTAGAGTTTTATCCAATTTCAGATCTTTTATTGCCGTTTTAATTTCAACTTTAGTTAAGGGTCACAGTAGTTACTGAGGACTGAGAATTCCTTTTTATAGAAATCCACACAGAGGACTAATAATTGAGATATGGCTTCAGAAGCTTTCATAGGATTTTGATGATTAGAGAGCTATCAAAAAAGTTACATCTTAACAGGCAAGGTAAAACTAAGCTCGCTATGCTCTCAAATAATCAGAGGCTGTGTGTGCATGTTTATCAATAGTTATCTTAACCAGAATTTTTTCCACTTACATCATTTTTCGTGTTTGCATGACTTCCTAAACCAATAAATATATTGACTATAGTCACACAGCAGTTCAGTTGAAAAGTGGCTGACTGGTTTATGGTTTAATTCTCAAAGCCAAACACATTTGTTTGGACTGAATAAATACAGAATAAATTCTCAATTTATCAGACTTTAGTTTAGCAGGTATCACATGTGGTAGGCAGAATCTATTCATTATCAGTGCACAAAACAGTGTATAAAACATTACTATGCATGCATAAAATTCCATTTGCAATTTTGTAGCTTTTAACAAATATTTGGATGCAATGATTTCCCTCCCCCCTTCCCTAATCTGTTAAATTGAATGTTTACTCTACCTTCTTCTATATATGCTCAACAAGTGAATTGGAAAAAAAGCTTGGGAGATTTAAAGCAAGCAAGCCTGTTTTTGGTTTAAATGTAAATCCAGGAATTACGGGCAGTTACATATATACAAAGTAAAATTAAGAGACAGCAGAATTAAATATGACAGCAGAATTTTTCTTAACTATAAAGAATAATTGATTAAAATGAAGTGTTATAAGTAGCACAAAACAAAATATATAGGGGTGGTTAAATTATGCTGGGATGATTAAATTAACTATTTCAGCTTGGCAGGACTGCAGAGGCTAAGATGTATGTTATTAAGCAGTATGTGTTTCTGACATATTTTACCTCACTGAACATGCGAATTAGGAATCCAGAACTAGTTATAAATTTCTTTCCAGCTGATTCATGAAGATAGCTGTGTTATTAGACAGAGTTACTTAATTCAGATAAGTGGCAAGGCGTGAAAAGAGTTGTAAGCTAGGAAGTTTGCCTTGTAAACTCCAAACAAGGTTCTTACTCATGGGCATAACAGAATATTATCCTCCCACCTAACTCAACAGGTATTGTCTTTTGTTGGGCCTAATTATTCAAATACATTAATGTATTTAAACCATGTAGCAATAAAGCATATTTTACTTACCAAGATAAATCTATTAGAAGTTACTTTATAACACTTTAATTCCAGAACTTTAAGTGCAATATTTTTTAAAATTTTTATCAATTAATTTTAAAAAATCCAAATCCTTTAACTACCCCTAGCAAAAGAAGAAACCAAGCCCTAGCTACGGTAAATGTTGCATTGTGATATATACATAACTACTGCATACTTCCTGCTTGTTGTGTACTTGCTAAAATTAACTGAAACCCTATTAAATCTGAGAGATTTCAACAGAATTTATTTCTGATACTTCAAAGCACTGCTTGGCTCTAGAATTTTTTTCTCCTCTTTTATTTTGCCTTTGAGATAACATGACTAGGAGGAATGAGAGGAAGATCAGTAAAAACCATTTGGTTAATAATTAAAACGCCGTGTAATTTACAAGTTTGGCTGATTATAGCCAATCCATATTTGCCTATCTTGATAATATATTGCTCTCCAATAGAGGGCGGTATTCCTAAAATTCTTCAAGTCTCTCCTTCCTCTCAGAGGTGGGGTCCAAATTTTTTACCAACCGGGTTCTCTGCCCTAATAACTGGCTGGGTGAGTGTGGTTGGGGAGTGTCGTGTGACTGAATAGTCATGGCCAACTCTACGTCACTTGTGTGGGTGGTACCTGTATGGAACAGGTAGGGTTGGGAAGGGAATCCAGGNTGGAAGGCTGAGTCAACCCTGAGCCGGTGAGATTTGAACCGCTGAACTGCTGATCTAGCAGTAGCCTGCAGTGCTGCATTTAACCACTGCGCCACCATGGTAATATTTATAATAATAAATATTACCATTTATTCAACTATTTAACATTTTCTGTTCTGACTTGTGCCTGAACCACAATCCAGTCCAATAGTTAATAAATTCCTGTGCTAAAGCTCTCTTGAATTTAATGGAGCTTTTCTCAGATATTATATATAGAACTGTTATAACTAGGTTATAACTATGTCTACCTCCAGATTTAAGCATCTGTATTTAAAGGTTTAACCATTGTTGTTCATAATTGTGAATCAATAAGGGTCAGTAAGATATGGACTGTGTTTTGAAATGCAAGACATATTTTTACTTTTTTAGTGAGCAGGTAATAAGCTTTATTAACACAAATGCATGCCAAAAGCCTTTACTGCTATGGTTGCTCTTTCCACTATAAGGCAATTCTCAATTTTTATGGAAGTTTACTACAGAATTTTCATTTTATTTTCTCTGTATTTGGATCTGCATTTTTTTCTCTAAAGAGTGCCTATTGCATGCTGGCTAATGTTGTGTTTACCTTGAATGCATAGATATAAATGTGTATTGTACCTGGATTGTCGAAATTTCCAGTTTCTTTTGCTGCTTTATGTCTAAAGTCCCAGTTAGGAAGGCTTCTCAAATTGATCAAAATGTATTTCTCTGCCCGAGTCTTTGCTATAACAGTTATACAGTAAAGTGCCAAGTGTGGGTTATAAATACAGGTTGTATGTTGACCAGGAGAACATACAGAGCAGGAGAAACATTGTGAATTTTAAATAATTAACATGACCCCCCCCCCAAAAAAAATCTTATGACATCTCTGGGCAATAGTCTGAATAATAAGTTATTGATTCAGGCTATTTGAAAAACAAAAAGAAGGGTTGCTATATGACAGTGATGGTGAACGTTTCTGTCCTCATGTGATGAAATTGTATGTGCATGCATGGAAGTTCCATTTTTCGTCCTCCCCAGGCTCCAGAGGTTTTCCTGAAACCTGGGGAGAGTGAAAATGGACTCACCCAGCCCTTCAGAGGCCTTCCGGAAGCTGGAAATGGTCTGATTCCAAACTTCCGGTAGGCCTGGAAGTTCTCCGGAGATTTTCCTGGAACCTAGGGAGGGTGAAAACAGCCTCCCCCCGCCCCCCCAGCTCTCCAGAGATGGTGATAATCAACTGGCCAGCACGCGCATGTGCACTGGAGCTGAGATAGGGCAAGAACTCGCGTGCCTGCAGAGATGGCTCCCCATGCCACTTGTGGCACACATGCCACATGTTCACCATCACAGCTTTATGACCTATCTTCTGAAGATCTGCTAGCCTTGTTGGCTGACATTTCTTGTACATAAGGTGAAAGCGCCTGTAGACCTTGTTAGTAGAAGGAAACATGATACAGAAGAATCATACGCAGGAGGGAAACTCAAACTATGATTACAAATATTGGAAAATAGGAGAGAAAACACAAGTGCTCAGCTAGGTAGATGGAGACCTACATGAGGTTCCCTCTGAGATACCAAGATGATGCTGTCTTTTTTTCTCTCAGAACTGAGCCCCACTGCCAGTAGCTTCCTCCCTATCCAAGCCTTCATGGGGTTCTTCAGGCAATTGTAATTTGCCAAGCAAAGCTCCATAACAATTCCTATGCCCGTGGGAAATTGCAAGGTGACAGGAAGGTGCAACTCAGTGAGAAGAAAATGCTGCAACATTCCTGAGCTGCATTTTTTTCAGCCCAATTTTTTTTTTTGCATGACAAGGGAAAAAAGAAAGCCTAGATCCAGAGTTGGATTGATATTTACATTCATTCATACGAAGAACAACACTATGAGCAGCACAAATTGGATGGCTGTTATTCTCCCCATCTTTCTCCAGTGTCTCTCCCCCTTAAAATAATGTTTTGGGATATGAGGAGATGAGAGCTACCTGGATGACACTTTTCTGTGTGCCTGCCTTAAAATTAACTTGACCTAAGTTCTGGCAGGTTGTCTGTGGCGTGGATTTTGGCATTTGGCCATGGTGTATTCTGATGCCAGGCCTGCGTTAATTTTGATCTCTAGTCTCCATAATCCTAGATTCGTTGGAATAGATTCCCAAAGGTATGTCTTATTGGGTATAAACTAGAAAGTGAATGATCTGTTTGTATACTTTTACTGAGCCAAGTAAATTAGATATGGTTCCATACTATGGTCTAAGTAAAAAATATTACCAGGTTGACTACAAAGAGATTTTACTTTTGTAAAACAAATTTGAGTTTGACAGTTTTCCTGGCAAGCTTAGATTGCCATCTTGGTGAGACTTTCCTGTAGGACATCCAGTATTGTATTTGTCCCTTTCTTTAAATGTACACTCTGTGACTATATATTTCTTCAAGATAGAGATAAAGAGATGAGTAGTGCAACATATCTGGGGGTCTCCAGGCTGGGTAAGACCATACTTGTTTAATAACATTGAGCATTGTGACATTGTCTCTTCCTTCTTATAGTGCGGGTTCTTCCAGCGTTCCAGGTACGATGACAGCATCCCCCGCTACCATGCTGTAAGAATTCGTAAGGAGGAAAGACAGATTAAAGATGGAAAAGCTAAAGAGAACCATGCAAAAAAACAGTGGATCACAAAATGGAATGGAAATGAGAGTTTTTCCTAGGGATCCCAGCTGAACTTAAAAAAAGATTGAATGGATTTTAAGATGTCTTTGAGCAACATGATGGATGCAAGTGAAAACCTGTTTGTTTTATAAATGTTATTTTCATATCAAAGTTGTTTGGTGTTACAGATCTAAATTTTAAGACACCCTAAACCATCTTCTATGCATTAACTAATCTCTAGTCTTTTGGGGGAAAAAATGCAGTTAAAATCCAAATTATCAACATGGAAAGGGATAGATTTACTCTCTTTTTTTTTTGGTGAAATGGAGCTATATGAATTTTTCCCAGTTGGTTTTTTTTTTTTGGCTGCTTCCAGCTTAATCTTGAGAGCTGCTTTTCAGGAAAAAAAAATTAACACTCTGAAACTGGTTGTCTGGGCAAGGACATCTGGCCATGGTCTAAAAGAGAAGGGAAGCACCCTGAGATGTGTGGTTTGTTGGAATGCTCTTGGCAAAATTTGACTGAACTACAATTACTTGTTATTTCCAGAGTCTGAATTACGTGTTAGGTTAACATTGTTCCTCTGATCCCACCTTTCCTGCATTGCTGAAACTTCTCTCACCAAATGTTAGATAGCAAGATAATTTCCCCCACAACGAATAGACATGTATTTCAGTATATTTGCCTATACTATTTAAATATCAGAAGAGAATACTAAGTATTTTGTCAGGCAAATTCTATGGAACTGCAAATGAGATAGAAATTAACGTAACCTATCATTCTTTCTCATTTGTGGATAGTTACTTGACTTTGATTTTATTTTTGTGGCAGAATGCTTAAATTAAAATTGGGGGTTTCAAACTTGTCTGCCCATCAAGATACTAAGATTTTTTCCTATCTCCAAGCCCAGAATATGTTTATTTTAATCCCACTAATTTCATGGCTGACTGATTATTCAGGAGAGATATGGACATATGGACAGAAGTTAATAATTTACATTAATAGGACTAAACCATGACATTAAGAACTGGTTCTAACATCAGGAAGATTAGCTTGTACTATGTAACTCTGTTCAATTTTAGGAACTGCAGTGTTTGGATTTTTTTTGCTTTTAAGGGGTAAATTGCTGGAAAAAGTGCGTATTAAGGGAAGCAAACATTTGCTGATATTTGTAACTTTGGAGTGGTTTTTTTGGCAGTAGATATCTACTAGTGAATGATTTTGGATCTTCTAGACTTAGTTGCATTTTGATCCTGTTTGAAACAATGGGAGCTAACTGCAACTAATTTCATGTGGATCCAACTCTTTATATTCACAAATTGATGCAATGTTGTATGGCTGAATTTCTAAAGGAAAGTGCAGTTATCTTGTAACCATGTTCCCGCAAAAGCCTTCTTGTCTAGAAATAGTAATTTATGTTTCTGAGTAGGGAGACCTTGGCATTCTGCATCTGTTTTAAAGGCACTATTTACTCTGATTATGTACTAATAGTGTGTGCAGAAAATCCCACCATTGTACACAGTGATATGGACATGTGTTTTTCAGGTAAATTTAAATTTGCTAATTCCACATTCTAAGACTAGGTGTGTGAGCACCAGGCTTAAAACAATCTTTAATGTGCAATAGGTCATGTTTTAAAAATTAGCATTGCTGAATGTTGCTTACACCAAATATATACAGATTTTCTGATGATGAGGTATGTCTGGGTTAATAGATTATGGTCTAATTCATTTTGTCAGCAATTGTGTACTAGAGAGCAGGCCACTTTCACCTCTGAAGACAGCAGCCACAATTGCTGGCAAAATATCAGGATCCTAAAGAATTAGACCACATTCTGTTAGCCCCACAGCTCTTCACCACTGGATTAACGTTGCCTATGAAAGCCTGCATTGATATATACATAGGTTTTGTCTTTTTTAAAGCTTGAATATTGGTTGTACTTTTTGTATATACTGTAAGTCATTCTTATATATTTATTTTTACCATAAATCTTTGTCTTTAACTAATGGTTAAGCCAAAGATTTTTGATTAGTCAGCAATAGCATATCAAGTTCAGTGAATAAAAGTGAACTTTTTCCCACCAAATGTGCCAATAACTTTTTAAATTCCAATGACTAGAATATTCTCAGAAACCTCTTCTTTATGTATTTCTAAATTATGTACTAGAGATGTATCTTCTAAGTAATTTGTGCGCTAACGCATACTTACAGATATTTATAGAAGTTTTATATGACTAACTTAATTGAAAATATAGCAAGTGCTTATTGGAGTGGGGAGGGCCAAAGGTTTTCTTTGTTCTGTGTTTGGAACAAGGTTAAATAGTACAGAAGTGATAGCACTTGAACCAAAATATAAATTCGCTAAATTAACTATGGTATTTTAATGGACGGGTTAAGGACTACTGAATAATTTGTACATTTCTAAAATTTAAGAATAGTTCCATATAAACTGCCATTTGAAACTTGTAATAAATGTAATTACGGTCTTATCATATCAAAATGTTGGTACTGATTAAGTATTACACGTATGCTAGCATTTACAGTATATGAAATTCCAATGGCCCATCAGAAAGTACATTTTGGAACTGTGCAATGCAGGGCTTTGCAATTTAATTCCACGTAGAATGTTCAGATCACATGGGACTGAACACTGCACCATAGCTCTATAAAAGTAGCCGTATCTTTTCTGGTGAGCTATAGATGGATGCTGCATTTGTGGTCTTGTGCCCTGAAGTGCTTTCTTGGAATCAAATGCAAAACATAGCACAGCGCTAACAGATCTAATTTAACAACAGATATAAACTATGCAAACCTGTAAGTATTTATCTTTAAAAAAAAACAGGATTCACAAACAAATGAAATGTTAAAAAGTTATGATATTTAGTAGTTACTTACCAAGCACATCTAAATTATATTAAAGTAACCAAAATATCTTTACAACCCCCAAGGCATGTCACAACTTTTGAGCACCCCTAATGTTTGGAAATTGAAAGTTGAAAAATTTGACACGCCCTAAAATATATATATATATATGTCTTGTGCTGTGTAGGTCAGTATAAAAATATGTTGTTTGGTGCAGGATGACAGTTTGTTCCAAGGTTTGATTTCTAGTTATTAATGTCAATTTCTATCATTCCACTTTTTATGGTTATCCAGATACCTTTTTGACCACACATTTTATACAAATTATTTTTCATAAAGCTTTTTTAACTTAAAAGGTATAAGCTCTTTTTTGAAGCTTCAGGTACAAATTTGGTGCCTGACATTAATCCACTAAATGCTGCTGTTTTGTCTCCTCCATTCACTTTATTTATATGTGGCCCATAAAAATAATCCCACAACCTTAAATGTGATGGATAAATTTTATTTAAAACTCCATCTCTGTAATGGGCTTAGTCAATCGAAAAAGTAACTGAAACACTACTATAATTTTTCATTAAAACTAACTGGTGGTTCCGGTGGTTTGTCAAAAAAATAAATAAAACGTAATCAATAAGTAAAAGTATCATTTTGAGTCACATCACTGGTATATATTTATTTTCCACATTAATTGTTACTAACATTTAATGTTGCATCATGCCTGAAAATTACATGTGGATATGTCAATAAACATGTGAAATAAATTTTGTATGAAAACAGTTTCTATGCTGGTAGTAATTATGTACTAGTTAGTTACTTTAAATTTCTATATACTTATCTAAATTTGGAGGGTTGCATCACAGGTTCTATAATTCTTTTGGATTTGGAAACAATACTCAAGCCAATAACAATATTTAATGCTTAATTCTAAGGTAATACAGGNTAAGTCGAGGACTACCTCTACTGCTCTAGATCCAGGCAAGGCTGCTCACCGAGGCGCCCTGGGCGTCAAGCCGCTCGTACCTGGCAGGCAGGCGCAACCAGGCGCCGTCCCGCTGAAAACCCTGCAAGGGGAATGGAGGGAAAGGGAGCCCACCTCCTGGGCGACGCAGAGACCCCTGTTTGCAAAGGATAAAAAGGCGGGGAGGCTTGAGTTCCTAGTCGCGGGACCTGGATCCTCCCAGCTTGGAGGAGCCGAGCGAGGTCTCTCGCTCTTCCTTTCTTACCGCGGGCTCCCCACTTTCGCTCCTCCCCGGCCGACCCGAGCGGCTCCGCCTCTCCGCCCGCCTCCTCCTGCCCCTACGGAGGGCAAGAAATAGCCCGGGCCCTGGCCCGAGCTGGAGCTCCTTTTCTCCCTTAGGACCTTCCTTCGCCGGGCCGGGAAAGGGGCCCGGTGAGGCGGCTGTCCCTTTCTGACAAGAGGCTGCAAGCGAGCTGCAAAGGAGGGAGGCGGAAGCCCAGCCGCGCTCCCGTCGTCCCGCTACTTTGCCCGGCGCCCCTCCGGGTGTGTCGCCGCCGCCGCCGCCATGCGATTGCTGCGGGCGCTGCTGAGGAGCGTCTCCCCTCTGAACACCATCCCTCAGCAGGTGGATTTCTACTGCCGCTTCTCCCCGTCCCCGCTTTCCATGAAGCAGTTCCTGGATTTCGGTGAGTGGCGACGGTGTCGCTTCCCCACCTCCAGGCCCGGGTTCCTCCGCCTCCTTTGCGCGGCTCCTTTCTCTGCGAGTCTTTCCTCCCCCCCTTCGGCCGACCATTTTCTTTCCCCAGAGGGAGAACCGCGCCACCCCCCTCTCTCTGCGGGGAAAGGCGCTTCCACCGCCACCCCCGGCCCTCGAAGGCGGCGAGCGGAGCGAGGCCTCGCGCGGAGGCTGCAGCCGAAGCCGCCCCTTCCCGCTCTAGCCGCGGAGGAGCGTGCCTCCCCTTCGCCCTGTCGACCCGTTTCCTTCTCCACGACTTCCAGGGAGGCGCGTAGAGATAGAAAAAGGAATGTTGGCGCGCCCCTTTATCCCCGAAATGCAACACAAAAGTTGTGCTTATTACCCAAAGGCGTTGTGCAACGGAGGGTGTTGTCATGCAAAGAATTCTAGATTCACGGTATGGGGTCTCATTTTGCTGCCCGGATAAGTTTTGGACGGCCGGGTTAGTCCTCGATTTACAACGGTTCGTTTAGTGACGGTTTAAAGTTAACAACGGCACAGAGGGCCCCTCCTCGCTGAAAGTGACCGATGACCCGTCACACTTTTAGGTAACAACTGTTGCAGTGGCCTCCTGGTCCTGTGATCAAAATTTGGATGCTTGGCAACTGACTCGTCTTTATGACCATTTCCGTGTCCTGGAATCATGTGATCCCCTTTTGCGAACGTCTGAGAAGTAAAGGCAATGGGGAAGCCAGAGTCACATAACAACTGTGGCAAGAAAGTTCGTAAAATGGGTAAAATTAAGTGAATTACTTAATGATTCACTTTAAAAACAGAAATGTTGGTCTCGATTGTGATTGTAAGCCGAGGACTACCTCCACCAAATTCCATTTGAACTGTGGTGGCTGGAGTTTGAATGAGCCTGAAACATACAGGAACATTTGGCTATGCTAAGGTCACAGCTGGTGTTTTTCAAGGACAAAT